ATTCTCCTTCTGGGAACAAATTGTCTTCGGGTTTTTTAGGTTTTGGGCGCTCACCTGGCACAAATTTGTCCTTAGGACGTTTTTCGAATTCTCCTTCAGGACGTAAGTTATCTGCGTGCTTAATAGGTAATGGTCGCTCACCTCTAATAAATTCCTCATTTACTCGTTTTGTAAATTCGCCTTCTACTCTTAAATTATCCTCCCGTCTAATCGTTGCAACTCGTTCAACTTTTTCAAATGTGAAATCATTTCTGGATGAAGTACTTCCATAGAAGTCTCCTTCGGTATGTAAATTGTCTTCCGGTTTCTTCTGCTTCGGTCGTTCACCTGGCACAAATTTGTCCTTTGAACGTTTTTCGAACTCACCTTCAGGATGCAAATTATCTTTTGGTTTCTTCTGCTTCGGTCGTTCAGCTGGTACAAATTCATCTTTAGGACGACGTTCGAATTCTCCTTCGGGGAACAAATTGTCATCGGGTTTCTTCGGTTTTGGTCGTTCAGCAGGTACGAATTCATCTTTAGGACGACGTTCGAATTCTCCTTCTGGGAACAAGTTGTCTTCAGGTTTCTTCGGTTTTGGTCGTTCAGCAGGTACAAATTCGTCCTTCGGACGACGTTCGAAATCTCCCTCGGGATGTAAATTATCTTTTGGTTTCTTCTGTTTCGGTCGTTCAGCTGGTACGAATTCGTCTTTTGGACGACGTTCGAATTCTCCTTCTGGGAACAAGTTGTCTTCGGGTTTCTTCTGTTTCGGTCGTTCAGCAGGTACGAATTCATCTTTTGGACGACGTTCGAATTCTCCTTCTGGGAACAAGTTGTCTTCGGGTTTTTTAGGTTTTGGTCGTTCAGCAGGTAAGAATTCGTCTTTAGGACGACGTTCGAATTCTCCCTCCGGATGTAAATTATCTTTTGGTTTCTTCTGTTTCGGCCGTTCAGCTGGTACGAATTCATCTTTAGGACGACGTTCGAATTCTCCTTCTGGGAACAAATTGTCTTCGGGTTTCTTCGGTTTCGGTCGTTCAGCAGGTACGAATTCGTCCTTCGGACGACGTTCAAACTCTCCTTCAGGATGTAAATTAT